TTTTTTTTTTTTTTTGGGAAAAACGAGTTTTTGGGATTTTACACATCCCAACTTATCACAAAAAAAAAAAAAAAAATCTTAGCACAAAGCTGTAATTATGAAAGAAATGGCAAAATTAAATAAATCCCATCGTTTCCATTTAGACCTCTATTTATTTCCATAATCGAGTTCTTACATGATATCCGAACTTACCATGTTAACTATGAAGCTTAATTATTGTCATTTATCGGAGTTAGTTGCGGAATCCTCGAACCAAAATTATTTTTCCTTATATTTTATTTTCACTAGCTTCCCTTCAAATTATTATATTATTTTCTTCAATTGAAAATTGAAATACTTTGAATACATTTAATTATCAAAAGTATACTAAATTCACTTTTTATTTTAAAATCTTGATTTAAAGAGCCTCTGTGAACATAGTTTTAAGGGTTAACTCTTTCAAATGGAGACGATTTACGTTTAAAGAGTCTATTGAAGATACTATGACTACTTTGTATTGATTGCATTGAAAACTCAACAAGTAGAAGTAACTTTTACGTCAAGGGTGAACTGTTTAAATCCGTGCATTTGATTGCTTGTTTCCATTTTCTCTTATTATACTGCTATTGGAATTTGGACGCTGATTGATTTAACTAAAAATTATATTTTAGTATATTTTAATAAAAATTATAGTTGAAAAGTTTATAAAAGCTATGAATTTCATACAATTTATGGTTTGAAATAATTTTAAAGGAAAACGAATTCAGATAATGAGGGCCAAACAAGAATTAGATTACCAATTTTTAATCTTTGATCATTTCAATTTTTTTGTTCGTATGTTGGTCAAGTCTAACGCCTCTATTTATATTTTAATTTTTTAGAATTAATTAAAAAAAAGTGGGTTAAAAGTTAGACGTAAGTGGACTTTTATTTTGTGTTTAAAAAAAAAAAAAAAAAGAAAATTGTCATTTGCCGTCTTATCTTTTGGCAACTCCACATTAACAATTCCCACTGCCCACTGGCAACATAGACGTCTTTCTTGCCGCGAAATTTCTCTCTCCCTAAAATTGCATTGAAGGTCTTCGATTATTATAACCTAAATATCAGGCAATTTCTAACTTTTTTCTTCTTACTGAATTTACGTCACCATTCTTTATATTTGCACCTGCACCCCACTAGATTCCGTATAGCCACATCCCTCTAAAATTATTATTTTGTTAGACTGTTTTTGTTGTCATCGAAGAGTCCGTCGATGAAAATTCAATTAGGAAAATATCGTCCTTTATTAAGTCGTCGACAATAAAAATATTGTGTCCTTTTTTCATCTGTAAGGTTTATTCTGGGAACCCGCGTCTAAAGATCAACAAACACAATTCATAACAAGTCAACAAGCTCATATTTGCCGTCACATACCTCGTAGCTTCTTTTCTTCTTCCCTTCATGACACCTAATTATTTGACAAGTTTATATCAATGATTGAATGATAGTTTGATGTCATATGTTGAGAAGGATATATTAGATTATATTGAAAAATATGTAATTATGAAACGTTATCGAAGTATGAAAACGTGTAGAGAATAATTGCAATAAGATATCGAGAGTTTTGATTTTTTCACAAGAATTTTTACAAGTTTGATTGTGCTCCCTTAATTCAAAATGTTTGCATCCATCACTGATAATGATATTTTATAGGAAGTTGGTTGTAATCGTCTAGATGCTAATAATGATGATCCTTCAAGATTCATGCATGGTTGAAATATATCTCACTGGTTAGCTCAACAAAGCTATTTGGAGATAAGGTCAATCGATTGTGTATTATGTGGATTGAATATCATACCAGAGTCCAATTCAGTTAAGTCTTGATAATTTTAGGTTGATCAATCTCGTATGAGCTTCAATGTAGCCCATTTGGTATTTTACAACTTGGACCAAAAATGGCATTGCATTAAGCCTTGTTGTATATTTTGGGCCTTTCGAGAGAGTGAAATAATTCGTACCACCACAATGACTTAATAACATTGTTTTGTATTAATTACACACGAGTATGCAATAATCCAAGTATTAGTAGTTTATTGAGACAATACTAAATTAGACTTATCAAGATGTGGCAAACTTTGACTATTGTCATGTTTATTGCATGCATTTATAATCATAGTTGTCTACCACTTCGTATGGCAAGTAATGTATTATTTGTGTGAACAAAATTAACGTGGAGTCCTATGGTGTTGATTGAATTCTATTTGATATCAAGAAGGTTCAAAAAATCGTAAATAAAAAGTTGAATGCCATCACAAGTAAAAGATGCGAAAATAATAGACATGGTATTGAAACAAGTGACTTTGGTCTAGGGAGATGAGTTGGGAGAACGGAAACACGGGTCTATTTATTAAGAGGAAAATAATTTTTAAATTATTCAAAATTTCAATTGATGTTTGTTGATTAAGTAGACTGTAGACGAGAAAAAAAGTCAACGAAGACTTGGTCGTTACAAAATCTAAATATTTAGAAACCTAAATATCAAGGAAAAAGGTTGATGATCTATTTGATATACCTGCGATAGGTTAGGGACCTATAATTCAAAATTTCCAATTCTCTTTGCTATTTTTATATTCTCTCCTTAACCATTTCAAGAGAGAGAAACTCCATCAATCAAGAAAAAAAGAGAGAGAAACTCTTGATGCCCTCTCCATCTTTCCCTTTTCAGCACTAGAAAAAAACCCTAATTTTATTGTTTTCTTCCCCATTTTATTTCATATCAAGAATGAAGCTTCGCTCTCGTGGTGATGGCGCTTCTTCTTCCAAAGGTATTATTCATTTTTAGTTCTTTTTCTCTTTGTAGCCTTATTCGCCCCTTTTCATCAGAAAACGTGTCGTTTTCTTTTATCTTTTTATTAATTTTATCTTCAGACTAGTTCTTATCTGTATATTTACTTCAGTTATATGCTTATTCGTGTCTATATTAATTATCGTGTTGAGTATTAAATTTGACTGTGGAAGTGATAGCAGGGAACATGAATCCCGAGTACATAGATGTCTCTGATGATGATCCTGATATGATAGATTTGGATGCCGATTATAATGCATTAAGTAATGAAGACTCAGAAGAAGAGGCTGTAATGGAAATTGTTGATGATGATTTTGGTGTGCCTAGTGTTTCAAAGGGGAGGAAAAGAGACTCGTCAAAGATGAGGGGAGAACAGAGCCATGAAGTAGAGAATGGTGGCCTGGAAGGAGAGGGAGAAAGAGAGATTGGTAGGATTATTGCGGAAGAAGTTGAGGGGAATATGTTGGGGTTTGATTTTTCTGGAGTTGTTGAAGAGATGCGTGAAGCCATACATGAGAGAAGGAAGAAGAGTAAGAAGAAGAAAGATGATAGACCCATATTAATGTGGGAAGTATTGGAACAAGAAAATGAGAGGTGGGTTGCAGAAAATTTGGCAAAAGACATTGACTTGAGCAATCAGAATGACATGGTGGCTGAAACTGTTGATCCTCCGTCTGAATTGATAATGCCACTTCTGAGGTACCAGAAAGAATGGTTAGCTTGGTCGTTGAAGCAAGAAGAATCTACTATTAGAGGAGGCATTCTTGCAGATGAGATGGGAATGGGAAAGACTGTCCAGGCAATATCACTTGTTCTTGCTAAACGAGAAATCAGCAGAGCAGCTTTTGGGAATGAATTGCCTTCACCTTCTACCTCATCCTCCACGAAGTCTCCTGTAATTAAAGGAACACTTGTTATATGTCCGGTGGTGGCTGTGATGCAGTGGGTAAGTGAGATAGAACGTTTCACTTCGAAAGGAAGCACGAAGGTGCTTGTTTATCACGGAGCCAACAGAGAAAGGAATATTTATCAGTTTTCTGAGTATGATTTTGTTATAACTACGTATTCAATTGTGGAGGCTGATTACAGGAAGTATTTGATGCCACCCAAAGAAAAATGCCAGTGGTGTGGAAAACTATTCTATGATCACAAGTTGAAAATTCATTTGAAATATTTTTGTGGACCTGGTGCTGAAAGGACTGATAAGCAGTCGAAGCAGAAGAGGAAGGATTACAAGCAGAAGAAAACATCTGACCCTGTGGTTGAAACTAAGAAGAGAAATCCCAAGAAAGGTAGGAATCTTAATGATGGCGAGAAGGACATGGGAAATGGTGGTTTAATTGAAACTTCAGTTCCATCTGGACAATTCTTGTCTATAGGCAAATCTATATTACACTCTTTGGAATGGAATCGTATCATTTTGGATGAGGTGAGCTATTAGGTTTGTTGGCTCTTAAATATGCACTTTTTATGTTATAATTCCGAGAGTTCCTTACGGTTTATACTTTTAAATGGGATCAAACGTGAAGCAATACCACATAGTCAGTGTGTAATTGTAGATTTATTTCTTGTGGCATTCATAGTGTAATTGTAGGTTTATTTCTTTTGGGATCTTGTTACATCGAATGTGAAGCAACACCACATACTCATAGTGTAATTGTAGATTTATTTCTTGTGGGATTCATAGTGTAATTGTAGATGTATTTCTTGTGGGATCTTTTTATGTCGAAAGATTCCTTTATTCATTTAATCTTCATCCTATTTATTTAAAATCACTGAATGGATCCCTTGAATTCTATATCATCGGGTACTTCCATTTCACTGCCCCTGCACTTCATGTTGGGTGCCTCCGCTATCAACTCCTGCTTTTCCCTTGCTCGTTATGTATTAGCTTGGAGATGCAAAATTAATAATAATACATAAAAGTTTGTTAGGACTATTGCCGGTAAGGAGTTTCATGCTACAGTCTTCTTGGTTTTTCCATTATTCATTCTATCCTTGTGGCAAAGGCTTGAACTATCAAGTGAAGCATTTAGGAATAAACCTGTTAATTTGCCCTGCATTTTGCTTTTTCATTAAATCTTAATGGACTATGGTGATCATCTACAAGTCAGAATGTAAAGTGTCTTCTTTACTATAAAGCATAATGAACTATTGACCTATTTTATAGACACACAAATGATCCAGCATATAGAAATAGCAGAATTGGTGATTGGATGCTATGTGGAATCTTCTGTGCTAGCGAACCATCTCTGAGTTGAATCTCCTATTTCATCTTCACGGTCCATTAATATCAAAATTTTCATTGTTTTGAAATTTATCTTTATTGTTCTCAAGTGCCCCCCCCCCCCCCCCCCCCCCCCCTCTCTCTCTCTCTCTCGTGGTGTTATTATTTTTTCTAACAAGTCTACATCAGTGGCTGTACTAGATCATTTGCTCATTCTGAATGTAAGGCTTTTGAATGAGTTTTTTGGCTCTTTCAGTCTTTCTCTGCCTTACTTAAAAGACACCAGTCTAAAGCTCTAATTGACTGACAGTTTTTTCTGACATAGGCTCATTATATAAAAGACAGACGAAGTAATACAACCAGAGCAGTTCTTGCTTTACAGTCTTCATATAAGTGGGCTTTAAGTGGCACACCCCTCCAGAATCGTGTTGGAGAGCTCTACTCACTTGTAAGTTATTCTGACAGTAGATTAGTTTGGTCATGCAATTTTATATTTAGATCTCACAAAAGATACTTTGCATTCAATCACTAGATTATAGGTACAGTTGAAGCAATTCCATTTGTAACAGTTAAACTAAACCGTTCGCTTTAGCCCTAAACCCAAAGAGAGATAGAAAAAATAAATCTGGGAAATGAAACAACAGGCCTGCTTGTACAAGTAATTGCAAAGAGCAATATTGTTTGCTAGCTCCTTACAGCCAGGACTTGTGCCGTATGCACTCTTTATTTCCTTTTCCTTGCTGTCTGTGGAAAAAGAAATAGTTTTGGCTATCAGCGTTGACTCCTTGTGTCATTGTGCTAAATGCAGCCTTCTACTAAATTTTTAATGTCATCTTTCTATATTTCATGCTCCATGAAAGTATAACATTGATATTTTCCCCTTTATCCAACAAATGAGTTGTTCCTTGCTGTCTTAGAGTGAATTTGAACATGACATCAAAATCCTCCATTTTACTGACTCATGTTATTTTATTACTACCATCTACATATCAGACTCTACTTGTCAAATTGATTGATTTGTAATGGTTGTCACCAAATCACCAACAGGGACTTTTAACTTTAGTAACATTGAGACCTTAAATTTGTTTGATTTTAACTTTATTCCTTGTATTAACATATTTCACCACCAATAATGAATGTTTGAACCTTGTTTACGAGTACAGTACCTCGACAGAGTGCTCGCACTGCCCTCATAAAGCTGTACGACACTTTTGCTGGTGGAACAGAGTGAGTTGCTAATTCTATTTTCTGTTTTCCAGTTATTTTTAGTGTACACAGTTTGCTGAGATAGTGAGGCTGTGATATCTTTCTTTTTTCAGTATGTTTCAACACCAATACAGAATTATGGAAATTCTGGGCTTGGTAGGGATGCTATGATTTTGTTGAAGCACAAAATTTTGAAAACCATAGTGTTGAGACGTACCAAAAAGGGCAGGGCTGCTGATCTTGCACTTCCTCCTAGAATTGTATGTTTCTGAGGTTAGTATAATTCTTCTCTTTGGAAGTTTGTTCTATTTAGTTGATCTCTTAATTGTAATTCAGGTTAACTTGAGGCGGCACACTCTGGATATTAGAGAAGATGATTATTATACAGCAATGTACAATGAGAGCCGGGCACAGTTTAATACGTATGTCATCTATTATTCATCTTTGTTCTTTTGACTTGTTTAATTGGAGTTTTGATGGTTGACTTTTTGGTCAGTCTCTGGTTTGCAGTTGCAGCTCTTTACGGCTTTGACTCTTTTCAAAGTAGTGAAATGGTTATTCCATTTGGCCTATTACAAAATTTGTCCGTGAAGTTTATAGATGCCTCTTTTTTTAGCGAATGACTTGTTTATGTATGTTTTGGCCCTTTTCAAGTTAATTTTGTTCGATGATTATTGCTGTTTCCAGCTTCCAAGTTGCTCGTCTTTGAATGATGCTCTCCTGAAGTTTTAAAGTCTTGTATGGCTGATGTATTGACCTCGCCTGCTGAGTCTTCTTGAGTTATTGGCTTATGTTTTGTTTCCTTTCAAGGATTAAAAATTGAGGCCTCCATATGCTGTATGTCTGTATGTCTTTGCTACGATGCTTAATTGTATATGAGCACTTGATTATGAAGTGTGCTGTGAATTCATTTTACCTTTTCTTTTTGCTTCATCTGTTGTTAAATTACCATTTTAACATTAGAGGTTTCAACTTTTTTGCTGATAATGTAAGAATTTTATTTTTTCTAAGGTTCCTTCTTGTTTATCCATATACTTTTCTATCTGCAGATTTGTGGATGCAGGGACTGTGATGAATAACTATGCTCACATATTTGATCTTCTAACGCGCCTACGACAGGTTGTAGGTTCTTCTGCTGTATTGCGATCTTGATATATTTTACTGTAATATATTGTTAAATGCATTCCTGGAGTTCATATTTTTTTTTTAAGATGGGAAGGAATGTTATAAGCTCACACAATTATCTGTGTTTGCAAATTATTATTTTTAGAATGTTTGCTGTCTTGACAAGTATAATTCTGCAACTGTTGATGGTTATTCTTCACTTGTTTTGCCTCTAGAAGAAATAAATTGTTATGAATAAGCTTACTGTATATTTACAGGAGAACTACTGTTTAAGTCCATTATCAGTATTCAGGAGTTGTTATTACCTAAAAGTTATTAGATGGCCACATGATGTCCATTGATTTAAAAGATATCTCTTCTTAACTTCAGTTCATTCACATATTATCTACTAGGAGAGGACATAGTGAGTAATTTCGAAGGTATTTTTTTTGAAATCCTGTCTTCTCTTGAAGTAAATGCTGCCTATTTTGTTCATGTAAACAGTATCAGCATTGACAAACCATTTAAAATTATACTATATTTATAATTTTGGGTTTTATTTAAATCATTGATTCATTGGTATCATCCATTATAGAGACAAATCCCATTCCTTTGTTGATTAATACCATAATTTTTCTCTGCCTTTGCATTTTGAAAAATGATGGTTCCTTTCCTGGTAAAATATTTTCTTGTGCTCGTGGCTTCATTTCTGCACATTTATTGTTATGTGACTTGGAAATGCTGACTGGATTAGGAATTGTGTTGATTTTATTCACTTTATAATGATTGTTTTGAAAGAACTGCATATTTGAACTGGTTGTGACGTCATATATAGTTTGTCTTGTTGAAGTGAGTAGCAATACTAGCATTAGCTAAATCTAGATATGATTAGTATTTTTACCTAGCTTCTTCTGGATTGGCATCTGGCTAAATTAGTTGAGGTTCCGTGAATCGAACACTCGCTTATTTTTATGTGCCAATGTCTGATTGATCTCTCTTACTATGATAGGCAGTTGATCATCCTTACCTTGTGGAATATTCTCTTACTGCAATGGAAAGAAAGGGTAAATCAGTTGATACTAGCAATGGTGAACAGTGTAGCTTGTGTCACGATCTTGTAGAAGATCCTGTTGTAAGTTGTTACTTTATTCTATTTGGTATGTTATGTTTGGTCCTTCTATGTGGTAGAGAACCTGGCAAAATATAATGACTGAAGTAATATACTGAGCGTGTAATTTATTGTTTAAAATTTTCCAAATTTCCCTTTGGAAATGCTTATTTCAAATTGTTGTATAGACAATGGTGAACAATAATTCTTCCGCTTTTGGAGTATCCTTTATTAGATGGTTGAATTTTGAATACACCAGTTACATATTTGTGTCCGCTTCCTTTTGTGTGTCACATGACATTGTCTATTGATATTGCCTTTGATATTGGGGGGTGGACATTAGTGTGAGGGTATGCATTGCACAACTTGGTTTGACATCTTTTTGGCTATGGGTTTTTGAGTAACATATTGCTTAATAAGACAGATCAATTTCCTTAATTATTCAAGATTCCTGCACTCTCTTGCTCATTTTCGAGGTAGTGGTCATCAAGTTTGATCTGAATTACTAATATATTGAGAAAATGATCGAGCATCCTTCTGCAGTTTATCGTCTAGTTATTTTACTAGTTTACTACGATTTATTTTATTTCTGATCTCAGTGCTGGTCTGCTTTAGTCCTGGACCATCACGAGATCTTGTCTTGCCTCGTCACTTTTTTTGGTTAGTTTTGTCTCTTTCCAATACATATTTTGTCATTACTTCAGGTGACATCATGTTCACATGTCTTCTGCAAATCGTGTTTGATTGATTATTCTGCTAGCAAGGGTCAGGCCTCCTGCCCTTTATGTTCAAAGCCACTTACTGTTGATTTCACTGCCAACAAGGATTGCAAGGAGCAGAATGCAAGAACCACCATTAGAGGGTTCAGGCCCTCTAGTATTTTGAATAGAATCCAGCTCAATGATTTCCAGACAAGCACCAAAATAGATGCTTTGGTATGTAAAGCTTGAAACCCCCCGGGGGGGGGGGGGGGGACACCAAAAGAAAAAAAAAACGAAAAGAAGCAATTTGCAAATAGAAAGACTAAAATAAAAATAAGGGGAATGGAGGAGGTGCCATCCTTGGTTAGGAGCTCTAGGTAGTACTTATCATGGCGCCAACTGGATGAAGCCATGATAATCTCTCTCTCTTTTGGTCTCTCTACGTCTCACTAGCTAGCTACATATTGCTTACAATTATCTTCTTCATCCCACTATCAACTCACACCTTCTACCAGATCAAGTGAATCTCCCCTCCGTGCTTCTACAATCTCTTATGCCTGCTCACAGATCGCTAATTTTGTATTTGTACATTCCTGAAATTTTGCTTAGCATATGAGGGAAGTATCTCTTATCAGAGTTGCAGTCATTTTGTCTGGGATAAAGGCAATCGTTATTCCATCTGTTTTGGCGGAGATTAACCTTCCTAACCATCCCACTTCCCCAGCATGAGAAAATTAGACAATAGGACTTCAAGGTGAGATGATGAATTATATGTAGTTATAATAGTAGTTATCTAGATGATTTAAGGTAGTCCTACTTGGAAAGGTAACTGTTATAAATTTGTTAGAAGATAACAATATCATTTCACTCCTGAGGTATGTTGAAAAGTTTCCTCTAGTGCTTCTTATGCTTTTCATTTTTTTGTTAATTTTTACTTAGTTCTCTGTGTTCTATTTTTCTCCTGCCGTATTTTCTCATTCTGAGTTAATTAATTTCAGAGAGAAGAAATCAGAGACATGGTCGAAAGAGATGGTTCTGCAAAGGGAATTGTCTTCAGCCAATTTACATCATTTCTGGATCTCATACATTACTCCCTTGAGAAGGTATGACATGTGTTAGTTGGGTTTTGTTGTCACTCTTGTATCAAGGAGATAACTAGATTTATGCGTTTCTTTTCAGTCAGGAGTGAACTGTGTTCAGTTAGATGGGTCTATGTCCCTGGGAGCAAGAGATACCGCTATAAAAAAATTTACTGAGGATCCTGATTGCAGAATATTCCTTATGAGCTTGAAAGCGGGAGGTGTTGCACTCAATCTTACAGTGGCATCAAATGTATGGACCCCTTTTTGTGGTTAATTAGCTGTTTGGTGTGTTATATCTAATGCCATGATGGTTTGAGATGTTTATTTATTCTTCCTTGCCTTGGTATTTACATCTTAATTCATGTAATATCATCCAATTTCTGTTATATTTGCAAGAGAACTAGAGTAGGAAATGAATAAGCCCCCACTTTTCCCTTAGATTGTTTCAACACTCCCTCCCCTTCTTTTTCTCCCATGCATGAGCTCATGTAATTTTTTCACTTTTAGAACTCTGAAATGAAGGAATGCATGTGCTGTTTGTGATTCTGATGCATTTTCACTTTTAGCTTATACTGCTTAACTTAATTAGTGCTTTCGTTGTTGGGTGTTGCTAGGTTTTCTTGATGGATCCTTGGTGGAATCCTGCTGTGGAACGGCAAGCTCAGGATAGAATACATCGAATAGGACAATACAAACCAATCAGGTAATTCTGCATTCTCTGATCTCTTTCTGATTATTATTTGATAAGCCCTTAAAGCTTTTAGTAATATTTGTTTTGTTAATTGATAGGATTGTGAGGTTTATCATAGAAAATACGGTCGAGGAGAGAATTTTGAAATTGCAGGAGAAGAAGGAATTAGTATTTGAAGGGTAAGTTAGATTCTCTTACGAGCTTCAAATGGTATTTGAAGATTGTGTTACAAGTTTCCTACATCTTGAGATACAAATAGAGAATTTGGTACTCCAATATAACTCCGTTAATTTGTTCTCCAACTATGCCTTATTTAAATCCATCTAGTTGTGTTATTGGCAGTAGAAGAAATCATGATAAGAGCATGTTTTGCTGTGCTCAAAAAGTTCACTTAAGTAATCTTAGAATTGTCAAAATTGGAAGAAAAATAAGAAAAAGCAATGTCCAAAGTCATTTTTGAAATAAACTTAAAAGTAACGCTACTTAATTTTTTCTTTCACGTGAACCGCCAAATTAATCTTTTCTTCTGTTATATATCACGTAAACTTTGTCCAGAAAGAGGTGTAATTTTCGACCTCTACTTATTTTCTTCTTCCCCATGGCCCACCAATTTTATCTTTTCTTCTATTACATATCACGCAAACTTTGTCCAGGAAGAGGTGTAATTTTCACCTCTTTGCTCTATTTCTCATTTTCTTAGTTGTTCTATTACAGGACTGTGGGTGGCTCTTCAGAGGCTTTGGCTAAACTAACAGAGGCTGATATGAAATTCCTGTTTGTGACCTAGTCAGGATCATCATTTGGAACCCTGCTGTAGTTTCTAGTAACTATATATGGTTTCTCCTCAAAACATAGCCAAATCGATATAGTTGGTTTTGCATCACCTACCCAAGGCAACTTTCTTGTTATGTGATGTGTAACCATTAGATCATGCTTCTGTGTAAATTCGAAAAGTATAATATATATGGGAGCCATTTAAAATTTAAGGTGTTCTTGTCTCTGGTTTGACATTCGGATTGTTTTTCGAGTAATATTCAGTTGACTTTGTGCGTGAATATTTGAACTTTAGACGATTAAGATCTCTTGGCATGTCCATCTTGTTATTCAAAGCTCTGGTATTCGTATCGTGCTGTAGTTGGTAGTGTTTCTCCTTTGACTTCTCTTTACCTATGCTATATGAACTAGACAGACTGGTGGCTCGACTTTAAAAATTGGGAAGTGAACTGAAACTTCATCCAAATATGTGCCAAAATTGTGTATGCATTATTAATGTTATATGTAGTCGTTAGGAATTGTGTACATGTAACGTGACATTAAATGATAAGTTCGATTAAGTGTGTATTTTACTCATTAAAGATCTTATTATTGATTGTAGGATACTTTCTAGTTTTCTTTGAGTATTTATCGTTCTTTGTCAAAATAAAAAATCGATAATCAACACTTGACTTGCATGCAGGCAATGTGCACTCTCTGTATATATAGCAACCGTATACACAAGGCTTCGTTATTTGAAATGATGAGTTGAAGTTTTTAAAGAGATTTATGGATTAAAAAAGCCCAAATTTGATTTGAACAACGATGCGTAGTTTCTTCTGTTGTGCTCCTGGTGGTTTTTCAAGGTATAAATATGATTCGAGGACGATCTCCAATTTCAAGGTATAAATATGGAAATGATTCGAGGTGCGTCTTGTTAATATTATTGTCGTTGTCATATCATTAAGAATCAGTCAACTTCAATTTATCACTAAACACTTCTAGTTTTATTCAACGTATATTTTTCATTATAAACCTAGTTTCCAAATCATATTTGCACATGTATGCAATTCGATTTGGGCAAGATATATTATCGTTCTTATCAAATTATCACAAATAAGATATATAAGTTTTTAGTTGACTTCAAATTTCACAAAATACTAAGATTTTTAGATTTATTCAACTCGTATTTTTCAGATAAACCTAATTCTCAAACAACATATTTGTACAAGTACACAGTTCGATTTGGGAATGACCATCAATCATCTCTCCGATCACTGGCGGAGATAGCCCCCCAGGACCCTCCCAGATTTTTGACAAATCTTTTTTACTTATTTTAAAATTTTATTTTTTTGGTTCTTTTTGTATTTACCATCACCATTTTGTCCTCAAATTGAATAAAAATCTTAAACCCTATCAATTTCATTTATCGTTTCCGTCTTCAACGTATGAGAACTCGAAATGAACATTTGTAATAAGGTATGATTTTACTAAATTAAATATTGGTACTTTCTTTTATATGTTTTTTTGTTAATAAGGTATTCAAAAATTTTTTTTTGAGGGCAAGCCCCGTGACCCCCACTCCTTCATCTCTATATCTTTAATTTTGGGACCCCTCAACTTCAAACGGCTGGCTCCGCCCATGTGATTTCCGTTGCGTTCTTGAGCGTTCTTGAGGTTTTTCGAGATATGAAAATAATTGTAGGTATATCTCTTAGCCCCGTTTGAGCCACATTAAAATTCTCATTTTTCTACTTATTTTTAATAAAATAATATTTTTCATCACATCAATAAATTTTTCTTCTTTTTCAACCATACATTCTCCATCAATCTACTATTTCAAAATACATTCTTCCAAAATAATGTGGCTCAAACACACCCTTATTGTTGCTCTCGAATCATCATGAATAAGGCACAAACTTTACCGCCAATTTCATTTTCAAATTAAGCGTCTTATTTTTTCACTAAAAGGCTAAAATAGTGATTTAACTAAAAAACACAAAAGGCTACCAGGCGGTGAAATCCGAAACCAGATTCAGGTTTTGAATCTGGCTGTCCATTCATTTTCTGAATCGACGGCTAACATGTACGATCCGCGTCCTTCCATCTTATTGGTCCATATTCGTACCACAACCGCTATATAAACGACCTAAATCTTCTCTCATTCATACCAGAAATTTTGCGTATACCTATACACGAAGAATTTACTTGTTTTCATTATTCTCTTGCTTTGCAATACAAATGGCGGGCAGGGGCAAGACACTCGGATCTGGGGCGGCGAAGAAATCCCAATCAAGGAGCAGCAAGGCGGGGCTCCAGTTTCCCGTGGGTCGTATTGCTCGTTTCCTCAAGGCCGGAAAGTACGCAGAACGTGTCGGCGGCGGAGCTCCAGTGTACCTCGCCGCCGTCCTTGAATACCTGGCCGCAGAGGTAATTGAATATTAATGTTAATTTTTAGGTTTTACAGAATCTAGGGTTTCATAAATTTTCCTCGACTGCACACGAAATTTTAATTTTCAATTTTCCCACAATCAAGTCTCCTTTTGAAAATTCTGGACATGGATTGGTTTTGATTTTTTCTAATTACAGTCGTTAAGTTCATTATAAACTAATCAAATTATGATGTTATAGTTTCCTTTTAAAGTGTTGTTTATATATGGAATTTTCCAATTATATGGATTTTTTTTTTCTGGGTTTCCAGTTTTAAATTCTTCCATATTCTGAAGTTAGAAATAAATTGGTTTCCCCCAGTTTGTTATTGCGTTTGAAAGGATTGTTTAAAGATCGTTAATTTTGGGCTTTTGGCTGTGCAGGTGCTTGAATTGGCTGGAAATGCAGCAAGGGACAACAAGAAGACTAGGATAGTTCCAAGGCACATTCAATTGGCTGTGAGAAATGATGAGGAACTGAGCAAGCTTCTTGGGGATGTGACCATTGCCAATGGTGGAGTGATGCCAAACATTCACAACCTTTTGCTGCCTAAGAAGGCTGGTGGTTCATCAAAGCCATCTGCTGATGAAGATTAGACGATGGAAAAGGAGGGGAATAACAGATAAAAGATTTCGTATTAAACCTGGGCTTTGGAGAGTTAGATGTTAGGTCGGGCAAGCTTTAGTTCTAGTAGTGCTTTGTTTATGATATGTTTATTTTAGTTTTAATTTTTTGTTGTAGTTGTCAGTTGGTATGTGAATGTAAATGAACAAGTTGTACTGTTTTCTTTAATTCACGAAGAGCTGAATTTCAATGGAGATTGAAGTACTTAATCTTTTCTGTTGTTCTTTTCAAGTCCCCAATGAAATAATTATTTCTGTGAATTGTGAGGTATGCTTCTTAATGGGGTTAATAATTTTGTGTATATTCAAGCTCATTTTTTGTGGAATGTGCTATTGGAGTAGTTCATGTGCTTGTGATTTCGTAGATGTTCACCAAGAACGGTTATTTGTTACTAAAACAGTGATGGATCCCTACACATTGTATAGGATTGTGGTATTGTTGCAGATTATATTGGTGGTCAAGCTGAATTTACCTCTGTTACCATCTGCAAAATATGATTCTTGTTAATGGAAGTTCCCAGGATGATGAATATCTGTTTGCCAAACATTATTCTTAAATTGAGCTTTGGAGGAACTGGCTGCTCCAATATGCCATAGGAGTGGCAATGGGATGAACCCATGAGATTTTGGCTCGTGGGCCTCAGTAGTTGCCCATGACAAGAAAAAAAGTGACCTCTGCTTGGCCCAAGGCTCGTCTCAAAATGAGCTTGAGCTGCTCATGGCTGAGCCTGCGAGCTGTTCGGCCCATTTGCCATTCCTAATGTGCCCATCATCTGGACAGTGTTTGTCAAATTGTTAACAGTGTTCTGATAATGCTTGCATGCACCAGATACTATGCTTCTTCATGTTTGGTTCAACTTGGTTTTGTGTAAATATATCTTCTTATTGTTCTGCTGATTTCTAGGTAGAGATTTGATATTCTGACTGCTGTTACTCACAATGTAGAGTTGTAGCTATTGGTTCGCACCTGTACTATAAATGGGAAAATGCTTGCTCGTTGGACACTGTTGTTTATGAAGCAGGGTATAAATGTTTGAAGATGCAATACTTAAACAATGTTGGTTACTGTTTCTAGTTTCAATCTTTCTTATTGCTGCCTGTGTGTTTATGTAATTGTTGCTAGGCGTCTGAAGGAACTGAGAGCTATCCATTGCATCTATTTTTAGTCCTGTTTATGGTGATTAAGTGGTTGGAAATGCCTCCAAGACATTGTAATATTGGCTAATTACATGGAATTTCCAGTTTTGATTTGAGAAAAAACAAAATTCACAGATTTTTTTTTCCTCGAATAATTGGTTAAAAGGTGCAAAAATTTTTGACCTTTTATGCAATTGCTAACGTTGATATGAAGTGCAGTCATATTATTTTCTACATACAACTGACCAACAAAATTTTATAATTCTCCATCAAGTTCCAACATAATTCTCCAGTTTTGTCAAAACCACTATTCATCTTCTGAACTTGAACTATCCGTTCGTTTATTGTTGATTGCGGAAGATAGCCGTTGACGAGTATCAGCCGGAATTGTCTTGCAGGGAGGTGCAAGCGTGTGTGCAGGTTCCTCTTTCCTTGTGGTCCCAGTTGGCTTTCTTGATGCATTCTTCACTTCTTTACACACTTTATCTAATATTATCAAGAAATCTCGAACAATAACAAATAATCGCAAACCCTCGTCTTTCCCAGCCGTTCCATGGAAATAATCTGCTGTGCTTTTCACCAAACTCATTATTCTATTCTCCTCCTCAAGCAAAAACATGACATCAGCCTCAACATTTTGGACAAAACTCTTTAATGCCCGGTGAAATCCATTTTCTTCATCTACATCCTTCATTTCTGTATCTAAGAAGTCCCGGGATTTTATAAATGCGTGACCAAGCTTGGAAACTGTTCCTGTTAAGCCATCCGAATCTAAACCTGCAGCTTTCTTGACATTCTCAAGCTGATTACCCAAACCCGAGACCACCTGCAGGCCAAGACTCCGCAAATTCTCGTCTGACTCTTGTGAAGAATCCTCCATCAGATTGTCAGTCTTGATGCTGGAAAAGCTCTGGCTTTCTTTGGTTGCTCGGGCAGCTCGTATACCTTCTGAACGAATTATCTCCAGAACAACAAAGTGCAGAAGTGTTGTTTTCCCATCTATTCCTTTCACATCCACCAACTTCAAAAGTGTATCGAGCTTAAATGCTTGTGCACCACCGCGATATGTTCCATCATTCATGCGATTTCCTGTTTTCAGGACAGCCTCAAGGAGTTTGAGAAACAGCCTGCTTTTTCGAAGTTCTGTGCAAGCAACCTGCAGTAAGTGGACATACTAGTGCATTATTTTGGAGACATTAAGATAGTGAAACTATAGATTTAAGGCTAAATAGCCAAGTGCAAGTAATGGCTTTGAAATTCTACCCATGTTAAGTGCTTTTACCCAGCAAACTAAGCATGTTTGAACCCCATTTTTGGTGTAGAATGCATTTTGGAATAGTAGCTTAATGGAAAATGTGTGACTAAAAATGAAGGAAATTTTTTTTGGTTATATGATGTGTGGTTGAAAAGAAGAGAGATGAGAATGTATTTTGAAAAAAATGGGATCAAACAAGGGCTAAATATTGAAATATGCATCAGACAATTCGAACATATGACAAATCATTTAGTGTATGTTCGGCACTCAATATCGAATAGGACTCGACACTATAAAATAAAATTATTTACCTTCCTTTAAACTATCCGATTCTCCTTACTAAACATGCCATTAAGAAAAAATTCATCAGCAACAGGTTATGCAGTGGGAGACACTTATTTTTCCTTAAAACTCCATCAGCAAAATACATTCTTTAGTCTTGACTGTCAGTTGTCTTTCCACATAATTATGTAGCATTAAAACGAAGGTAAAGGGGAATGGGCCATCGAACAAAAAATTTCTTTTTAGTTTCCTGTATATTAGTTAGTAATTTTTTTCACATCCTAAATCTATATCTGATACGATTCACAAGAAAAGATATTTATTTCTTAATCAGAGTGGGCATGTTTGATTTCAAGATTTAATGTTCTTAGATGAAGTGAAACTGTATGAATTTTCTACCAATAGCTACTGGCATTTAACAGCACAGATATCTCACCTCTAATACTTTGAAGGACTCTTTTATTGTTGATGTCTCCTCCTGAAGAGTGCACATTAAAAGCAATGTTTCTAGCCTCCTAAAGGCAAATGGAATTTCGACTAAAACTTTAAGGAAGCGGTCTGCAGGTCCAAGGCGAGAAAGCTCGCCGCTGTAGAGTCTCAGCTTTAGTTCTTCTTCAGATGTTGGTGCCATCTTTAACAAAGTTTGAATAAGTTCTGCGGGAAGCTCATTACCTGATTCAGTTGAAGGTTAGCTACATTTATAAAAAAAAACTGATGGTGAAGCAAAGAGAAAAATTATAATACACAACATAACCATTAACATACTAATGCCTCGTTACTTTCTTGGGGAAAATTTCAGCATTGAGTCTCAACATATTGCCTAAAATAGAAAGTTGGTCCCCCAACCTTTGAAAATGAACAATTATATCCTCAACCTTTAATTATAGTTCCACTATCAGTCCTCAACCAAAAAAAGCATCCAAATCTCTGTTGAATTTTTCGTGTTGTCCTCCTGGAAACATACCTCATTTCAAATTCCTGAGCACCAGCCCAAGTTGGAAAATAAAATCCAACTTCATACAGTTGGGCCTGCGAGGGTTACATGACAATTTAATAGAGATCTGGAATGTTTCCACTGTTAAGGACTGGTCGTACAAATAATGTAAGTTTGAGGATGAACTGACTTGAAATGAGTTTGAATGTGCGTATATTTCATTTTTTGTATTTTCTTTTGTAAATTGTGTGGGCAATCTTGGAATCTAAACTACAAAGTGGTGGCAATTTTCATGAGAAATCCAGAAGGGAAATTGTATCAAACAACAAAGGACAGGAGGAGGTCTTATCTCACCATCATTCCCTTGAAGTTTTCACAGTGAACCAATTAAAATACTCACTCCATCCCATTTATATTGGCTTGTTTTGTTTTTCACACGGATTAAGAAATCTTATTTAATGTTATTGGAAAAGCATTTTTTGCCAAAAACTTTCCTAATTTCCCCTCATTTAATTATCAATAACTAGTAGTAAATTATTATTGGAAGCAGTAAAGAAATAAGGTATATTAGAAAACGAACAAAACAAAACATTCTTAATAAAGAAACAAGACTATATAATTGAGACAAAAAAATAAAGAATGTGAGCCTATATAAATGGGACGGAGGGAGTATTAGTGGAATTAAATGGTTATATGATCAAGCTTTGTTGCAGTAATGAATCACCAATCAAAGCTTAAGATGAAGAAAGCACATAAGGAAAAACTATATCCTAACTGAGCATTCTACCCATTCCTTCCCTAAAGAGGGTATCCAGGGAAATTTTATTATGAGAATAAAATGGTCCAACATAAGTTGCACCAATGTGATATATATTGTTTTATTTTAACTAACACTTACAAAGTATTCACAAGCAAATTAACTGAAAATCTCCAGTCAAAAAAGTTCATAATTTGATTCCGAAAGAAAACGGTTTGAACAAGATTGATAGAACACATGGTCACATGTTGAATCTTCATATATTTTCACACTTGAAAGGAAATAAATGAACTTAAAAATGACTGCACGAATGCAGAGTTCTAGCATCTCTAACTCAGCTATTAATGCAGCATAAACACACGGCTTTTCTTTTTCTTTTTCTATCAAGGGAAGAGATAATTAACTGTAGATATATTTGGCGTTTTGAAGTTCAATACTAGAATGAATATTTTTTGTTTTTATTTTTCCATCAAAATCATTGTCGTACCAACGCAATTTTTAACAGCGTTCATTTTAGTAAAAACCTTAGTTCTAACTTCGAACGTTTGATCAATCTTTCTATCAAATGGGGTTTCATTTTTATTAGGCACCTTTACCTTTTTTAGCCATCAACTAATTCAAAACTTGTGGCAAAATTCGGAAAGGACCAGAGAAACAAGATTACCTTCTTGAAGTGCATCAGAAATTTCTTCCGTTGTCACATTTAAGGCTTTGAGAAAAATAGAGAGATTCTGTGACTTTTTTTGATCAATTATTTGAATGTGTTGAGGAAGGGAATCTTGAAATGAAGACCCTTTCTTGCCCTTACTTTCAACTTTCGTAGCAGGATCATATCCAAATAGATTCTCTATCATCTCCTCATTGAACCTGTACATAGAGTTGTCTCATGTCTCTCAGACAGCTTGACAAATCATTATCATCTAGTATATGAGAAGCATCAACAACGAGGGAGGAATAAACTTACTGGAATGACCCAGCTTTGATCTGATCCCAAACCATTGCATTATCAGGGTTGGCCGATACCTTGTCCCAGAAAAAAGGCTTCAGCTTGGTCTTGGAAGCCGCACCATCTCCCCAGTCACTTGAGGCAGAAGTGGACTCATGATTTGGTCCAAGAGGTGAACGTCGAGGTGGTTTCAAACCTATGAGAGGTGGTCGAGGTGGAGGAATACCACCTGGAGGTGGAGGCGGACGAGGACCAGTTTTTGTGCTAGAGGGTATAGGAGGTGGAGGAGGTGCTCCAGGAGGTGGAGGATGAGGACCATTAGATGTAGGTTTTATAGGTGGTGCTGGTGGTGGTAAAGGTGGGGATGGGGGAGGAGCTGTGTTGCCTAGAGGTGGTTTTGGAGGATTTGTCCTTCCAGGGGGTGGCTTCAGAGGAGGACAACCTGGTTTACCTAACATTCCAGGCGGCATTTGCACGAAATCTTTCCCTGAGTTGATGCCAGATGCAGCAGTGGTACCAAATGGCATCTTAATTTCTGAATCAGCATAAAACTTGCCATTGGTCTTACTCTGGTTCAGTGAACCATGAAATAACTGATTACCTTGCTGGTCTTCTTTCATTAAAGTTGCTAGATCAAATGACTTCCGTGATGAGGCTGAAGATAGGAATTTAACAAAAAATTAGAACTTTGAAGATGCAATATATACTCTTATGGAATGTTTGGTGAGGTGGATTAGGTAGTACTCGACAATATTAAGAAAGAAAAAAGATATACAATATTGTCATTGTATTGTCCAGCTCAGTCTCATATTGCATACTAAGCATGCACTTGAGATGATATCATATTTTGGGAAGTAATAATTTTACCAATAGAATGGTCACTTAAGCTTAAGCAGAGAAGTGGCTTCTCATCGTTTCTTCCCCGTTGATTGCCAGTCCTGCAACAGCAGAAACATAAAAGTGCAGCAACAAGTGAGACTGCAGCAATTGTAACAGCGGCAATAACAGTTCTCTTGTTGCTCTCTTTCTTGCTCGACTGCTTTTTTGAAGCAGATTTTTTACTTTTAGAAGAATGTTTACTAGTTTTAATCTGCAAGCTTGAATCGTTCAAGTCGGGAAGGAAAAATGGAAGCCATGGGGGATTAGCAGGAAATGGAGCATTAGAAGCAGTTGGAATCAATGTAGCTTGACTAGGTGGTGAAACTGTATGGGCCGGTGATGGTGCTTCTCCAATTCTCTGAATTAGTTCACGTCGACTAGAAGAATCAGGACTGGCAAATAACAAATACCTAGTGTACCAACTTTTAAAGCGTTTCTCTTCCCCACAAACAGGAAGCATGAGATTTCTTTCCCTTAAACAATCTAGAAGGATTTTTTTAACCTGAGGGTGCAAACAATTGGCAGTTTTATGTATATCTGCTTTGCCTGATAATCTATCTTTTGAAAGTTTCTTGCTGTCAACCGATCTCTTTTCTGAGGCATATGATTCAAGATCTTCTAAAACTTTCTTGGCATGTATCAACTCAACCCTACAGTTTAACCATAAAAATTCAACCTGCAGCAAAAGAATTCAATTAGTTTTGCATATGTACACAACAGGTCTTTGTAATTCTGGTCAAGCTTATCTCTAAGCCCCTGTTTGGCCCCCATTACATTCAATTACGTTACATTAATTTTTTCTCTCTCTTCATCTCAACCATACATTCATCAAATAAAATAATAATACACACGAATCTAAAACTTTTCAACCACACATCTCCCATCAATCACTATTCTAAAAATTTTCAATCCCTCAAAAATCAACATTAATGGGTGCCAAACAAGGGCTAAACCTTAAGCTTGGGAAAGCCAAAAGGCCCACTAGAGAAGACACCACGTGAATGTTAAACTTCTTTTCTTTTCCACAGAATCATTTTATTGTTCAATTAACTGCCAACTTTATTATACCTAAAAATGAGAAGATTTCTAAAGCATGGAATTGTCAATAGTAGCCATAGAGACACAGAAAGCTTCTTCATTAGTTTAATAAACTGAGTCTAGCGAGCTGTCAATCTCCCATCAATATCTGGTAATACATGAGAAGTTAACAAGTCCATTATATGGAAATGTACTTGGTGGTATAATAAGAATAGTATGGTATTTACTTCTGAAAAAAATTAAAAAGGTTTATAGTGTCTCTTATCGAGTTCAAGTCAAGTCATACTCGTCACGTCTAAGATAAGTTTCACGTGATAAGTAGAAAATTTTACTTGCCCAGAGACAACCTATTTGCTGAAGCCAAACTCCACCTCCCTATTAACATACAGATTGTTCAAAATGAAACAAAAGAAATTTTGAAAACAGCCTTGTTCTCAATAAACTTTGGGTCAGCGACATGAATCCTTTTCAACAGTCTGTTCAATGCATCAGCACATCTACCAAATGATCAAATAAAATCGAGAGTTCTGCAACCACCTAAGTCGTCTGACCCTTATATTTATCCTCGGTGTTACTTCCACACATTTCACATGTTTAACTTTATGAGAACACAAACATCCTTATTTCTACTAAGTTTCCATTATGGGCATTTTGTACTTGAGCCCTCAATACTCAGTTCCATAAAACACATTAGGTCCGGCTGCAATGAGTTGTTTTAACTTTTAAGAACACAGTCATTCAAAGATAAATTGACATTACAAAATCCCCCAAATTGATAACCCGTCAACTGTGGGATTTAACAAATTTTATCTAAAATGGCCGTCACCTAAAATGGCCGTTCACTACAATTTTCCGGAATGAAATCTAAGTCCTAAGAGACAGATATCAGGGAGGTAAAAAATAGAGAAGTATCGAGCACCAAAGTTCTGTTATTATTATGAATAACCGGCTCGAGTAATTCATACGGGAACTGCAACAAAAGTAAGCATTCCCTCCCACCTCTAATTTAGATTATCTTGCCCCATAGCATCATTTTTTTTTATGTGAATCAATGCCATCATTTTATCTTGTCAACACAGGCACTTAGTACATAGTCTAGTTGAATATAAGCATCAATGAGAAAAAAATAACGAGCTAAATACCAAAAAGGAAAAGAACTCTTCTAAAGTACTGTGAGCATGAAATGGACAAGCTGCAGATGGACAATCTTAGCTGCACACTCTAGCATAACCCTCCGATATCTCCTCAGTTGGCATTCGATATTGAGGACAAATGCATGTCTCTCACTAGCAAACAAAAATCTTAAAAGATTCACAACCAATAAGGAGATATCTCGGCAAAATGATGTCTCGACATAGAGAAAGACCAGTAAACAATGCTGTTAAACAATCTCAGATATCAAATATTGAGTAAATGCCTCTGAAAGTTAAATGATTCAAGAAGCAAAAATATGTTATATACATAAACTTAACAAATGTAAAAGTGAGTACCATCTCCTGATTTATCTCTTCTGTGTCCATTAGATAAGCCACTAAAAGGTCTTGTGCCTGCCACTCGCTTCTTTCTACACCTGCTGCTGCAAAAATGGAAAGCAGAACAATAAAAGCCATTAAACAAACTATTCCTCTCATACCCATCTTTTCTTGAATCAACAACAACCCAATTATACACAATGCTTTTCATATCATCAAGCCAAATGAGCCCTTTTCTTTCTAATTGCCAAATGTTCACAATTTTTTTTCGCTAATTCTATTCAATTTTCCTCAAGCCCAGCCTTCAAATGTTGGAATGTCGGACTTTTAACCCAGAATCTTGATGTCCCTTCTCAAAAGTTTGACGTAAAAGCTCTGAAGTACGTTCTAATCACATTTTATAGCACAAACCCAAACATGGCGCCCGAAAACAAAGAATTGAGAGAATCAATGCACCCTATTATTGACGGAAAATTTCTTTGTCTTGGTAGCTCGGATCCACCAATGAGATTGAAATACAAAAATAAACAACTCAACCCAGAAAATTTCTTTTCAAGGATATTGATTATTATTTTTCTCTATTGGGTGGTCTCATTTGAAAGCTCACAAAGTTTTACTGATCAATTTTGAAGCTAACTTGCGAAAATTTTGTTCTTTCGTTTTTGCATTTTAGTTTTTTGGGATTCTTTCTTGTTGAATGTTTTGTGGGCAATTTCACATCTTTGTACGATTTCGATTTCCTTGCAACATAGGAGATAGAGAAGGACGCGGAGATTAGCCGATTCTTGAATCCTCGTACTGCTCTTTATATGTTTGTACCATCACAAATCAGATAATTGCACAATCTTTCCTTAGATTTTTTGATAGTAGTAAATAGACCCCAATTACTTTTTTATACACGTGAAGTTTTGACTCTCAAGAATCAACTTAGATTTCAGTGTTTAAAATAGTACTTTTCAAATTTATTAATAATTGAAAAAAAAAAAGAAAGAAATAAGTGGCAAGGTGATGAATTTGAACTTTTAAGAGGAAATTTCTTCAAACAAAATTAAAAAATACAAGAAGTCTTCTTCAAATAAATTTTAGTAATTCAAATTTATCACTCCCTTTAAATATAAAAACATTCCGTTCTGCATTACCATTGGAAAGAGTAAACTATTTCAATAGACGCAATACATTTTACGAATTGTTATATAATAATTAGCTAACCATGTAATGGATGGCCTAGGGCTAATCGAAGGGTCATTATACTCTAATAGACATAAAAAAAAAAATGACGATGTATTTCAACATAAAAAAACTTTTTTATTCAAGAGCTTCATTACAAGGTGCAAATTGAATGGTGCATGTTCTCGACTCTAATCCCTTGTACTGTCAAGAGGAACCGAGAAAAAAAGACCGCGTTGTCGTCTTCCTCCGCATCTAGTTAATATAACCATAACAACTATGAAAAGTGCAAAAAAAATAATTTTTATTGTGAAATTTTTAGATGTGGATCAAAGCTATAATAGTCTATATATATATAGTCCATGCTCGATGGAGATTAAAAATAAGATTTTTAATAAAATTAATGAAATGTGTGTTTGAAAAGTTGTTTGTCATATGAAATATGGAAAGAAAAGTAATTGTTGGCTTCATGTTCTTAACATTTATATAAAATAAAAATTTTAATTTTGACCAAAGGGGATGTAGCTCAGATGGTAGAGCGCTCGCTTAGCATGCGAGAGGTACGGGGATCGATACCCCGCATCTCCATCATTCTACAAATGTTTTCCAATTTTTTAGATGGGCTTAAGTAAGAGGACATGAGGCCCAAGATAATGAGGCTTAACACCTTCTAAGAAAGACGCCCCCCTCTATGGCCCAAAATTGTAATGTAGCCCAGATTGAGAATTTTCGACTTTTAAAATTCTTTTATCATTTAATTCTTTAATTCGTTCATGAAGTTTGTCAGTGTAAAATAATATTTTTAATCTAGAATTTTAAATCGACAATGACCCACGGATTAAATTACTGACTCGACGGAACTTAAACCATTATTCTATTCCATCGACACGACGCTTCAACGGTTTTATTAAATGGGCTAGATGAAATTATGGCGCATGATCGATTTTCATCCATCAATAAGAACGAGTGGCAGGATTTAAATATTTATTAATTTCTATATTATTAATTATAGACAATTGACTATAGTATATATTAAATGGGTCGAATTACCATTGTTATGCACTTAAACATTGAGACAAAATTGTGCGGTTGAACTTCATTTCGTAGATGTTATCGTTGTGGTTAAAGTTTGTCAATCTACCAACAGTGTTCAAAATATTTCCAAGAATGTTAAAGAGTACATGCAAAGAGAAGTACACTCAAGGACCTAAATGTTAGAAAAAAAATTGATGATCAAGGATTTAACTGTTATAAAATGGATAGTTAGGGACTTAAATGTTAGAAAAAATTGAATGAGAGTTACACCTGAAAGTTTCTTGGATTGAGACTGGTTCATTGACTTAAGGGGCTTTTCAGCTTTCACCAATTGAAACTTGCCCTAATTTCAATTTCATCAGATTTCCCAATTCCTTTTCAACACACCAGGAAAATCAAATTTCCTCTCTACCAAACGGGTGAATATAAAACCCTCGGCAACTCAATTCCCTCCACACGGGAAAATAATATCACTTTTCTGGTTGCTGATCGAAAATGGATTTCCCGGGAAATACGAATTGGTTGTACGATTATGAGTTCGACGGTGTCCCTGCTCCTAATGGGAATTTCTCTGCCCCAAATACTGGGTCTTCTTTGCCCATGCAAGCTTCGAATGGTTCATCTAAAGTCAGGTACTATTTGAAACTACTAATTATGATTTTTCCCATTTGATTGTCAATCAATTTCCTGCAATTCATAACTGTTAGGGCTTTTTAAGCTTTTGGTACTTTCAATTTGATCTTAATGATGCCATTTTTAAAATTTTTTTTTGTTATTTTCTGATATTCTTTTATGACATTATATCCTTATTTTTAAGCTTTTCTGATATTTCATTATAATTCATAATGCTCTACCTTTCAAGATTTTATCTCCTTATTTTTGCCTTTTCGTGGTAAAATTGTATACATAATATCTTCTGTTTGTTGTAAACCATTGCTGTTATTTAAGTTTGTGGAATGAAATTTGTTTGGGCATTTTAATTTGGAAAGGGATTTTTTATAGTAATTTATTGTGTGCTGTGGCTGTGGCTTTGGCTGGTAATTGTTATTAAACAGTTAAGTCTCATAATGCGTTTGCTGGTGCACCGAGCTTTTGATGCTAAAATTTGATACTTTTTCTGATTATTAATTAATTTTCCAGATGAAAGATTGTTGTTACTGATATGTGAATGTCATCTTTAAACTTTAACTGCTTTATCTGACTTTATCTTTTCTTTGTTATCTATGTCAGGTTAAATCGTGTATTTTATGATTAAAGTTTGGGTTTATATTGTATGTGATATCAGGTGGTGTGGAATCAATATTTTATCAAAATTGTTAAAAGCCCTTATAGGTGAAAATGAAATAATTCAAGTTGGACTGACTGAGAGGGTACAACTTTCTTCCGAGTTTAGATCTAAAATCGACCTCGAGGGGTTGCTCAATTGGTGAGGCCTTGAGTTTGCTCCCCATTGGTAACCAGTTCGAATCCCCTCAGGCCACTGAGGTGAGTATCCGGCCGTAAACTTCAGGCCCGTGGAATTAGTCGAGGTGCGCGTAAGTTGGTCCGGACATCCACGGTTATTAAAAAAAAAATGTGTTTAGATCTAAAATCAGTGTGACGAAGTGCCTTTTATCTGCAATAATGTTGGAAACTTCTTGTTTGTTATTGTTCATTTGGATATGAGGCATTGCTCTTAATCTTTCCTACTTTGGAGAAGTTCTAAGATTCCTTGTTTTTCTCTTTTTTTTTTCACATAAGCAATTATCAGTTCATCAGTGTACTCACTTGTTCCTATTCTGTGATCTAATCTATTGATAGTGTGGAGATTGATGGCTCATTTGGAGAGTCAGATGTCACGAGGGAAACTGGCTCAAAAAAAAGGCAAGGAACTTTTTCTTGTCTTGAAATACATTTTTTCTTATATGGTGGATTGTGTGCTTGATATTTCATCCTTAAGTTGGTGCTTATCCAGCTTGGGATGTTGGAACACTGCTTGCCTATTTTGCAATAAACTTGCAAATTTAGTTAAGATTTCGTGCTAATGAACTGAATATCAGAAACTAAATATGGTAGTAATGCTTTTGATGATTATATGCTCTGTTAATTAAACCGTCGTTCTCTCTAAACAATGCCTTGTGTCACTTTCTATATATTTAACAGAGCTAGAACTGGATCATGTGAGCCTTCAAGCTCCAAAGCATGCAGGGAGAAGCAACGGAGAGAGAGGCTAAATGACAAGTATGATTATATTCCTGCTCTTTGTCCCGTGCCTAGTATCCCCTTTTACTCTTTACATCAAGTGACTATTTTGGCATGTTATTCAGGTTCATGGAATTGAGTGCTCTACTTGAGCCTGGAAGGCCTCCCAAGACAGACAAGGCTGCCATTTTGGTTGATGCTGTTCGCATGGTGACTCAACTACGAGACGAAGCCCAGAAGCTGAAGTACTCAAATTTGGACCTCCAGGAGAAGGTTAAAGAGCTGAAGGCAAGATTGACTTTTCTCTATATATTTGTTTGTTTTATGTCAAAAGTGATTCCAATCAGGTCTAAAGATTCCTCCTAGAAAGATGTAAAAGTGTGTGCCTTTGTGCTCTCTCTTTTATTTCCGCATGAGCTGCTTCATGGACAAAATGTGACTGCTAACTGTGCGACTCTCATCCAAATTCTACTAATTTGTGTAGGCCGAGAAGAATGAACTTCGTGATGAGAAGCAAAGGTTGAAAATCGAGAAGGAGAGGCTAGAACAACAACTAAAGACAACGAATGCCCAACCTGTCTTTCTGCCTGCTCCTCCTACTATACCTACAGCATTTGCTGCTCAAGGCCAAGCTGTTGGCAACAAATTTTTCCCTATCATCGGTTATCCTGGAATTGCCGTGTGGCAGCCTGGCGATACTTCACAGGACCACGAGCTTCACTCACCAGTTGCCTAAGTTGACTACCCTGCGATGATGTGGTTTATGGAGAGGTCCAATGGTTGGCTTTTAATTTGTCAACATGTATGTTTTGTGATGTTGTCTAACTTGGATCTGGTGGATAATTGAAAGTATTTGTAGTTATTGAACTTTAGTTTAGTTTCTTCTAGTGTTCGTCGTGTGGATGTTTAACGAGTTAATTTTGCATTTAAAGACTCAAGCATGAACAAGTAGCAAGTAAAAAGCATTTACATATTTGCAATCTGTCGAATGCAAAAAGGCAGAAAGAGAAATGCCATAAGTAAATACCAATAATTCAAGTGAAATTATTCTTGATCCAACTAATCAGCACAAAATTTAAACTTTTGATCGTTCTGTAAAGTATTCTGAACTTTGTCGATGAATTCAATCGAAACTTTTGTTGCTTGATCAGAAAATTCATCAATTCCTCCAAATTTCTCTGGAATGAAATATTTGAACCCTAGAATCAAGTCAGAATGCCATTGAACAACTGTCCGACCTTTGAAATTAGGGTTTCTGTATTTAACCGTTGTTCATAATAACTCCGCATGAGAAAGTGGAATCTATAGAAGATGTGAGTTTGATCGTGAAATCGTTCCTTCACCTTCCAGGTGAATGACTGGGCTTCATCAAAAAAATTTATTTTCACGATCTTTCAATTGAAGAACAACAATGGAAAATACCTGTATGTATTTGGAATCTATACGGGGAGCTCTCAGAAAAAAAATCTTCAGGATGATCAATGAGTTGTTTGAATGGAAGTTTGCAAATATATATATGTAATTACATGTATATCACTTCTATCTAGAGTAAAACTAGGATTCCTAATACATTCAAATCTATGAAAAAAAAAAAAGGCGGAATATTAAAATATGTAGAACACCAATTAATTTGGAACCCTAATGTTTGAATTTATGGATAGACGTCGTTATACGTTTTCGTTGGAATGGCGGGAAGGGTGGGCAGAACCGTAGAGGGAGACGCTATTTTTATTTTTATTTTGAAAAAAACCGCTGTCTTTTATATTTTATATATTTTGAGTTGGGTGACTAAACAAATTAAAAGTTCAATGATTAAGCTTCCGTTTGGATTCAAATTTTATAAGTAGTTTTATGTCCCCGTCTGGTGCTCATTTTAATGAGTTTTTTTTTATCACTACATCTCATTTTCCTACAATGGAAATATAATAACACGCTACCACAAAGTCAGTATTATATCAGAACGAATATAATTTGGATATTGTCGTTGTGACTTAAATGCTTGTTTTGCCGTCGTATGCTAATTGGAAATAGACACAAACGCCCCTCAACTATTTTTACCCTAGCAACTCATTCTCACTAGACACAGATGCTGCGCCGCTTCCAAAAGTTGCAACCGGAGCATTCCACAAAAAAATCACGACGTTATGCCCGACCAGCCAAACCTCGTTGTTGGGTTTTTTTTATCGACGACCGCAAAGCAGTTCCACAACTAGCAAGGATTCCTATGTCCATCCGGCCATCGCCTTTCCCCACTTCATCTCTGTTGACGGTCCAACACTGGAGCTTTTCACACCTTCAAATTCACAGTCTTGTACGAAAAATATTACCTTCCAAGATGGGAAACGACAGATTCCAGTGGCATTATTATCCCGACACACATGGTAAGAACTTTTTCATTTCAGATTTTCAGGCCCAACATTTTCATGCTACCTACCCTAGTGTATCTTTGCTTCCTACTTTCCCCGAAACGAATTTCATGTGGCTGTGGTTTTAATTTTCTCTTCGTTTATTCAGTTTTTGCGTACATCGACAATGTTCTTGTGTATACTGGCGCACGACAAAGGATATCGGCAAGTACAAATTCTATTTGGTCATTCGTTGCAGACCATTTGTCATTATTTTACGACAGTCTTGCGTGCATGTGTAGCTTTCGCGACGAATATGATAATACCATATCCGAGGTACAACGAAGGAGTAGCTCACCATCATCCGAATTCGGAGCAGTATCCCCTATTTCTTGATGAAAAAGATGAAATTGCGGCCGATCTAGATACAATAGTTGAAGATGACATGTCTTGGCGCTACATTAGGAGTTATACAATGCGCATAAAAGGAAAACTTATGTAGTCTGTAATCGTTTTTTTCGATTAACATGCAAACGTTCGAGAAACAAGTAATTAATTTTCAATGCATTTTTAACTAATTGACAGATTTTTCATATGCTCGTTGCCAATCTCGCTTGGTTGAATTGCTCATGTTTTGACTTTTCAAAAAAAATTCCACCTACCAGTCTACCACGAAGTATTTTATGATTTTTGCACTTGCCAACCACCTACCATAAATTGAAGGGCATTAATGGAAAGTAAAATAATGGTAAATGTCACTTGGCTCATATCTGGCACGTGTAATGAAATGTTGTCAGACGAAATTTGAATGCGGTCTTTCCTGTGGCGCAGAAATGTTGGAATACGGCTGGAAAAAATTGGATGAGAATAGGGCCAAACAAGCTGTATAAAAAATTCAACCGATGTTTGGTCCCATTGAATTTTAATTTATTTTTCTTTACTCTCTTATCAACCATATATTATCTCAATAAAATAAAATTATACATAAATTCAAAATTTTTTTTTTACTTTTTAATCACGCATTCTCCAAAAAATACTATTGTAAAATTATTTTTTTTTCCAAGTAACGAAGCTCAAACAAGGGGTCGCAGTGAAAATACTAATTTCAAGAATAATTATATGTACAATACATGTTTTGTTAAATCTATCACATTGTAATTGCAACGAATGACCTCAAATTTTTCTCATTTTGACACTTACGTCTCTAATTTTTTAGTTTGCATTATTGTAATATTCAATTAATTAGAACGTCTTGTCTTTGATGACTTTTTCCTCCAAATGTTCTGTTAGCATGAGAAACTATTTTATTGAACTTTTGTATTTATTATTTATCTTCCTTATTTTCAAAAAAAGAGAAAGAAATAAGTTATTTTTATTCCATTTAAATGAATTTTTTATTGTCACCAATCACCAAGGAAAATATATGCTATTTAATAAAGATTGAAGAAAAAAGATATGATTAAAAAGTTGGGGACATGAATACAAAAATGAGCAAAAGTTAGAAATAATCATTGTAATTAAAATGTGTTGCAACGATCTAAGACTCCGTTTGATAGTCTTAGTTTTCCATGAAAAATGAAAACATTTTTCTTTTCCACCCTTAAAAAGCTGTTTGATAGGTAAATTTTTCCATG